CTTTAGGATATCCCTGAGAATACGTACATACACTTCCACGTCGGCTATGAGAGATTTTAATTACTTGATAGCGAGTACGGGTGCAGCGTAGCTATTCATTAAGGTTAACGTGCGGCTATCATTGTCCCCAAGTACAAGGAAACGACGCCACGCTTCTCGAACGAAGGAGTGTGGGAGAGGGGGATTGTAACTTCGCCATTACTCGAACCTTGAATGACGGTTTAATGTCGGAAAACGAACGAGTCTCCGCCATGTTACGAGCTTCTGTCTGGTGTAGGATATAACGGTCAGAACTAATATATATATATAGTTGTTATTACGTGGGTAACTAGATAGCCTGATGGCCGGATGCAGGATAGCTAAACCTTGTCTGGATGATAGCGGGTATACCTAAGATCCCAACGTATTCATCCACATGCAGATTTACGAGCATTTTCGCGAGCTTGTATTCGAACCACGAAGACTGTCTGGATTCTGGGCCGAATCTCGTCCTCTCTGGCTCTCTTCGGGTTTTTAAAACCACTTTTATCTCAGAGGTAGGACGAACGTCCTGTGTACCACTGCCGCTCGTACTTCATCTTACTTAATACTGCCCCGTTATACTTTACCCCCTTGCGCATAATGAGATGGAGTTCAGAAGCTTTAGCAAGGTAAGTAATGCGAAGTAAAAATATTAAATGGCATTTCGCCTCTTTGGGCGAATGATCATTAGGCGAAAGCCCCTTTCTACGGCTTCACGGTTCTACCGTTGTAAACACTGCCTTTTTTTCTGCGATTTATGTCATTGCGTACTGAGATGCATCTTTCGTTGTATTCTTCGTTTCTCATTAACCCGTTACCCCAGTGCCATTGTTCCCTGTAAATACCAATGTTCTAGTCGTTAGCTCGTAGTATGCTTTATTCATCTGTTTTAACATGTGTGATCCTAATTTTCAACTATTGCTCTTTTTTTCTCTTCTCGACCACCAAGCTAGTACACGTGCCTGTAGCAGTGATACTTACAATTAGTGATTTGTCCATAGCTAAAAACTGGATGATCCGATGATAATCGGAACTCGGGAGCCCAGGCGCAGGCTTAAAAACTGATAGACGCGTGGTAGCGGTAACGGCACAGCGGTTAAGTCATTTCCGCATGCATAAATATGCAAATCGTTCGCTCAGCCTGCGAACGGCACCCACGGAAGCCTCGGATGCACCGAGCATACTAATGTAAGTGCAGTTCCCTCGTGTCACCTGGTGCATCCAGTCGAACTCATCCGAGTCCAACCTAACCGCAACGTTAAGCTCGAGCGTTCTTTTCCTACTTTGCTACCTCATATTTTATCTTACCGACACTCGTGTCCGCGCGGAAACACCAGCAACTCCAACAGCTGTCCTTCTCTATTGTACACGTGGCAAGCGTGGGCTTCGATCCCCAGGGTATTCGAGAACCGAGGAAACTCCTTGCCCTCCCTCGGGAGTAAGTACCTACCTTATACCCACCTGCATCCTACCTATACCTACCTACAGTTTCCCAATCGGCTTTACGAGAACTTGAGAGCACTCCCGAGCAACCTCGCAGAATTGGACAGCGATAGCTGCTAGAGAACGTTCGATCGGCCAGGTTGGTACTCTCAATTCTGTTCCTTCCTTCCGTGCACTTTTATTTCGACGAACCGCAGAGTCGCGCGTAGCGACCCTGTACTTGCTTGTTTCCTCTCGTCATTCCTCGCTTCCCGGATAGCAGATATTCTCCGCGCACGGAACTCCGTATATCTGACGTATACACCTTACAGTAATATTTCGTAATTCCTAGGCTTTTTGCCAAGCGGCAGTGCTGGAAAACGCTTTGGAAATTTCCTTGTGAGGACGGAACGAAGATGAGTAAAAAAAGGGTCGATGAGGGTCCTCCAAAGTTCTTGCAGCTTCTCATTTGCACCCCGCGAGGTTAGCGGGGGAGCAGAGGTCTCGGCTCTAAAATGGGTTAAGGAGGTTTTACGCTTTTTATCGCGAGTTCTCGGTGCTCTTCGCGTCGCGACGTCTTGCCCCGAGATTGTAATAAAACAATGCCGTGCTTCGTCCGAGTGTTTTTATTGTATAATGTATTTCTGGAGACAGTGGGGTTGTCGCACGCGAGCTATGAAACTTGTGAGGAGGTATACACGGGATGGGGAGGGTATAGAGATACGAAGGGTGGAAATAAAGAAAAAGGAAGACCGACTGTGGAGGGTAGTTCGGGAAAATGGACGAGGGAGGGGTATGGCCTGACCGAGCTGTAGCTTCGAGGTGACAAAGAGTGGGTGAAATACGGGTTGAAGGGTGAACCGGGCTTCGGGTCGATGTTACTAGTTATATGGTGTAGGTACGTGTGTATCTACAGATATATGGGTGCATGTGAGCGCTTGGCTTTGCGAAAACATTTTATCCTGGCAAAAATTTCACCGCACTTTTATAGCCAATGTTAGCCAAAATTAAATTATAGGGGGATTTACTTTTCCAGCAGCCTGCGTACACATTTCTGTGTGTATATGTATACGTGTGTATATATGAATTTTATAAAACGTACAAAGCGATGCTTGCTGGTCGGTGCACAGTGCAGGTAATAACTTCCATTAATTAAGAACAGTTTTCACAAATGTATCAGACTCAGTTATACGGTATACGAATGAATTTTATTTCTGAATACAAAAAAAAAATGGATAGCCATCAGCAGAATTTAATCTCCGATAAACACATCCCTTCCCCTGTGCAATTTTATCGTCCCCTACGCACGTAGCTGAATTTCCGTCCCCCGAATCAAATCTTAGACTCGAAGATTGAAAAACGTAGACATTTCCGGAATGGAATAGACTTAGAGAGTCAGCCGTAGCTATACGGGAAGAGGAAAATGTACTTTACTCCTGGTTTTGCTGCATTGGAGCTTGGGGGGACCATTTCATCCCCTATGACTTTCTTTATGACTCCGGCGTGCATCGTCTTGCATGTTTGTTTCTGCTGCGCACGTACCGCTGAATTGAACGCATAGCACGTACGTACCTATGTAGACCGTCGGAAAAGTCTGTCTCAAGAAAGTGATTGATCTTTTGCAAGAAATACGCGTGGGCGTTTACTTCTTTGCGAATCATCGAGCGTTACGTTTTATGTCTTGGCGTTCATACTAGAAACAACCTTACGTGGAGTTGTTCTCGGGCAGTTTGTACTTGGCTACTGTACAGCAAAGGAGAAATATCGTAGCGACGGTGAAAATGTAGATTTCACTCGGATTATACAGGCACAGACAGCCACCCAGCTAGTCAGCAGGCGAAAGTATTAAAGCGAAATTATAAAGTCCTACCGGAAGTCTCTTGCCTCAGGATGCTGTGCAGAAATCTGCAATGCTACCGTTAATCACTATATACCTATGAAACTTGCTCTGTTGTACACACCGTATCTTTGTATAATATAGATTTTTTTTTCCCGGGTCTATTCGTTCATTTCAATCAGTCGTGTACATACACGAGTTGAGTTATTGTACGTGAGTGTACTTTTGCCAGTCTGTCTAGTACCTATAATTGCATCGGTAACACGTGATTAATTGCGAGCTACCACGTTTACCAAGGCAATATCAATCAGTACACATTTGCAAGTAGATTTGGAGATTTAGCTGGGACGTCGAAGAGATCGATTAAATTGTGGCGAGGTATACCCGAAGTAAACCAGGTGGTCTCTACAGCCGTTTCAGGGACTCCGGGTAATGAGCGTTCTAAGACAGATTTATACTCGGTGCGTTATCATCGATCGCGATCGTTTACGCTCCAATAATGAGCTATAAATTTAATTAACTGCGCGAGCGTCGTCGCGGTGCCATGTCGGGTCGCGCGCATATACGCATGTCAGAGATCCGTCGGTACTATTGACTCTATCCACGGCCTTGGCCAACGACCTTACTCCTTTCTTCTGCCCGAGCGCGATCTAAATCGAGTGAGCGTAACGAGATGATTTCTAACCCTTTAAGAATAAATAGAGCGGCCTTCGTAATATCTATACCATCGATCTACATGACATCCGTAATAGTGATTTACTTTGCAGATTTAGAGACGCGAGTGTCCTTATACACGTAATCGATCATCCGAGAAGGAAAGTACGGATGGAATGGAGGTTAGTTTAGGATTTGGCCGTTAGCCAAAATGTTAATCGGGAAAATAAAAGTATAACTCGCTTAAATCAAATTTCCCATATCTTACTCTTACCAAATGAGTGAGGTAGACATTTGTACACCAAGCCGTACCTCCCGGTACTGGAAACGACGGTAAATCAAGATTCCTCATATCTCCGCCAAAAATTCTTCGGGGTTTTCCTAGACGCTAAGGTCATCTCAGATGCGGTTAAAAGAGCGATATGGAATTATGTAACTCGAGAAAGTTCTCGTTAAGCAGAATTAATCAGAGTGATAATCCATAAAATCTCTTTTGATCCCGTACCACCTTGAGATCGTCGATTCTCGTTACGACGTCATAACCACTTCAGAGCGCAGAGGGTCTTTGTGTACCTACTGGGTACCTATATTCGACCATGGCCCTTGGTTAACCGTGTGGACGAGCCTTATCCCGGGCATCCCTATGGCTTACGTTAGTACCTCGCATACGTGCCTATTACCTGGTACAGAACTAGTATAGAACAATGGAGCGGCTCCCCTACGTAATTACCGAGCAGCTTGCCAGCAAGGCCGAGGGTCTTCTCCTTTCCCCTGCACCCCTCTGACCTCTCTGTATGTAGATCCTCCTTACCTTCTCATACGTCCAATACTTGGGTATCGTACGCGCGTCTACTTCGTTTCTCCATACACACGAGAGCCTTAGCTCGCTACTTTGACATGGCACTCCTCCCCGTTAGCCCCGGTGAACAGATGTGTCCATTCCCACCTCCGCTGCGTCACGACCGCGGGTGATGCTCGCATAACTCGACAATATATTCCTTGTATTTCGAGTTTACCAGTGGTACGTGAATGACGCTTTGAGTGTCATCAGCTTTGACAAGCCTTTTCAGCTTTGTCCCCGATGCCCACGCTGATCTTGTCTGTCTGCTGCGAAACTACTCGGAAGATCCCACTGGGATGGAGCGTGCTGAAAAATTGTAATTATTGGCACTCTCGCTTCGTCACGCGAGCGGACGCTTTTTGTTTACTTTGAATTTTCGTCGGGTCACGGTTTCCTCACTTTTACTCGAGTCGGTACTAGGCATTCGCTGGGATTAAGGTCTGAGGGGAAATTCTATTTAAGAGACCTGCTGTTCAATATTTAAGAGATCCACTGGGATCTGACATTGTGCGAGTGGCTGTATACGGATCCAAGTCCGTGCGAGTGTATTATGCACGAGAGAATCGGGTTTTACGTAGGTGCATACTGGAGTTTATTATGCATTATTCACGGAACATAGGCAGCGGGCGCGTGTTGCACGCATTTCTTTGCGCTGAAGAAAGTATGAAGTTTACGACGCACGCGAGCGAATGACTAATCGCCTAACGGCTGCCAGACTCGGGAGTTCTTTGTCTCTGGGGAATATAACGGGATTTACTGATAATCAGAGGGAGAATTGCTTCGGAATCGTTTCGAAGGTTTCAGTAAGGCGCTCTACGTTTTTTTTTTACCGCTTGCCAAAATATTTCACGGGATCTATGTGTAACGATGTATTCACGTGTCGCGACAGGATCAGAACGTCTCGCGATCAAATGCATGCAAAGTTCAAAGACGCGTCTTCGTTAGTGTCGATTTTTCGACGCACCGGTGAAAACGTTGAAAGTTTGAAAGGATTTTTGGAAAATTGATTTCTCTTTCGTAACCGGTACGAGCTGGGATAATAAGACTCTCGTCCTCGTTGCTAGGCAGTTACTGTATCGAATAACATTTAATTGGTAGAGTTCAGGTCCAGGATGGTTATATACCCAGTACCGCTATAGGGTTGAGGAAGTTCTTGCCGGGAGAAACGTTGGTGCTCCTATTGCTGGTGGCGATGGGAATTCTCGAAGCGAATTCCTTAATGCAAACAAAGTACTTAACAGCTATTGTTAAGGGCTTGTCGTGAACTTTCCTAGGGCAATTCCCTGCTATCCCCTTCCGAAGTACTTCTAGGCGAGGATGCTGCGCGAGAGATGGGGAGACGTC